AAGTCCACCCATCTTCAAGCTGCCAAGGTTGAGAAACTATGAGTTAGAAACCGTCTAAAGGGAAGCTGGGGAAAGGAAACTGTCTGAATCCAGATGTTTTCCCCACCTCTGTTGGGTATTTAAGACAGAAAATCATCGTATCTGCAACGCCATCCTTCACTACAAGGATGCGACCATTTCAATTCAGACCCAGGGTCTCTCCAAACTGTTGAACCGATTCCCAAGTGTCCGATTCGGCCGTTTGATCCAAACGGGTGGTGCAAGCTGGAAATATTTTAAATAATTGAATAACAAACCCAATCACGGAAGGAAAACGTCGCTCGCCCCCAGGTCTGCAATTCTATCATGTTGCAGGAAGGGTTTCTGTGTTGTTCTGTGGACTCTCGCGCTACCCAATTTTGCACGGAAAAGCAAATAGTATCAGGAATGGAAAACAACTGAGACTAGTGCTAGAGAGTTTTATAGAAGCCCCTGGATATTTTAGAGGGCAAAGCCATCAGCAAAAGGAGAATTCCCTTTTTCGTTCATCTTCTGGACGCCCATCAACCCCAGAAGTTTACAGCCAGTCGCTCTCTTTCGGCCCAAATTACCTTGTCACGGAGTTGTTGTGGGAAAAAATAGGCCTTCGACACAACGCCGTCACTAATAAAAAAAATATATTGCTACAGTTGTGATGGTTGTTATGTTTTTGAAAAACCATGTCAACGGGACTATTATATGTGCTTGGAATTTGTGGATCGTTAATGGTGGCAAGGAGCTGAAAGGCACTAGGACATTGCAAATAAGGGGAGGAAAATGACATTTAATTTTAATGGGAGGTTAATGGAAAAGGAGATGATTTATGTGATACAAATTATTTAATTAGCTGGTAACCATAAAGGAAGCAGAGAACAGTCAGCTGGTTTAGGCAGATGCTGATAAGGAAATATTTCATTTGTCCACTTGGAGCACAAGGCCGTAGGAACGTCCTAACAGCAGTAAAAATGGTCTGTTAAGTGTCATCTGCTTCTCCAACTTCCTTCCCTATATATGTATTTTAAGAGCAGGGGCCAAATCTAGTCGTTTTTCAGACACGGTGTCCTTGAAGGCCTTTCAAAGCGGACTGCAGGACCCGGTATTTGGGGCAGGCCCACACAATTGGTCCTTGGATTAGAGAAGGTCAGGAAGGATCATCGCAAAATTATGGAGAGAGGATTCGCTTGTTTACTCCATAGCCTTTCTGGCATTCAGGGTTTCAGTTCTCGGAAATACTCTACGCCAGCGCATTGCATGTGCCCATTTGGGGCTGTGGTTGGTTCTCCACCCCTCCGTTTCCTCCCTCGGTTCCTCCCTCCCCCTCCCTCTCTGCCTTCCTCCCTCCCTCCTTCTCTCCCTCCCTTCCTCCCTCCCCCTTCCCTCTCTCTCCCTTCCTCCCTTCCTCCCTCCCTCTCTGTCTCTCTTCCTCCCTCCCTTCCTCCTCCTCCCTCCCTCCTTCTCTCCCTCCCTTCCTCCCCCTCCCTCCCTTCCTCCCTCCCCCTTCCCTCTCTCTCCCTTCCGCCCTTCCTCCCTCCCTCTCTGTCTCTCTTCCTCCCTCCCTTCCTCCTCCTCCCTCCCTCCTTCTCTCCCTCCCTTCCTCCCCCTCCCTCCCTTCCTCCCTCCCCCTTCCCTCTCTCTCCCTTCCGCCCTTCCTCCCTCCCTCTCTGTCTCTCTTCCTCCCTCCCTTCCTCCTCCTCCCTCCCTCCTTCTCTCCCTCCCTTCCTCCCCCTCCCTCCCTTCCTCCCTCCCCCTTCCCTCTCTCTCCCTTCCGCCCTTCCTCCCTCCCTCTCTGTCTCTCTTCCTCCCTCCCTTCCTCCTCCTCCCTCCCTCCTTCTCTCCCTCCCTTCCTCCCCCTCCCTCCCTTCCTCCCTCCCCCTTCCCTCTCTCTCCCTTCCGCCCTTCCTCCCTCCCTCTCTGTCTCTCTTCCTCCCTCCCTTCCTCCTCCTCCCTCCCTCCTTCTCTCCCTCCCTTCCTCCCCCTCCCTCCCTTCCTCCCTCCCCCTTCCCTCTCTCTCCCTTCCGCCCTTCCTCCCTCCCTCTCTGTCTCTCTTCCTCCCTCCCTTCCTCCTCCTCCCTCCCTCCTTCTCTCCCTCCCTTCCTCCCCCTCCCTCCCTTCCTCCCTCCCCCTTCCCTCTCTCTCCCTTCCGCCCTTCCTCCCTCCCTCTCTGTCTCTCTTCCTCCCTCCCTTCCTCCTCCTCCCTCCCTCCTTCTCTCCCTCCCTTCCTCCCCCTCCCTCCCTTCCTCCCTCCCCCTTCCCTCTTTCTCTCCCTTCCTCCCTTCTTTCCTCCCTCCCTCCCTCCCTCCCTCCTCCTCCTTCCCTCTCTCCCTTCCTCCTTCCCTGTCTCCCTCCCTACCTCCCTCCCTCCCTTCCTCTCTTCCTGTCTGGTGAAGTCAAAGGCTCTGCTCCCTGCAAAACTATCTGAGCGGAGAGGGAGAATGGGTCTATACCCACTTCCCAGGCCTGCTGTCTTCTGCATGTCAGAGAACGGCTGTGCAAGATGGAACTCAGCCTGATTGACGCGTTCTCTCCACTTCATGCTGGGGTAATTGCAGCAGAAATTGGATATCTGAGCATGCAGGTAGTTAATTAGCCCCGATTTGGAAGCTTCTGGAGGTACATAAATCCCACACCTACTAATGCATGCCCAACATGGTGGTAAGATGTTATTTCAACATATAATTTATTGAACACTGAGATTTGGCGGTAACTGCAGGTATAGAATTTTCTAGTAAAGGTAGATTATCCACAGGGATGATTGGCTAATATCCGTGACATAACCCAGAACATTTATATTACCCAACAAGGTAGCTTTTCATTAAAAAAAAAAAAAAAAAAGTATAAAAACTAGTGGATAATTCTCTCCTAAAATGTTTAAGGGTCCTTCCTTCCTTCCTTCCCTCCTTCCTTCCTTCCTTCCTTCCTTCCTTCCTTCCTTCCTTCCTTCCTTCCTTCCTT